TTGAGAAATATGAATGAAATAGTCGATTTTATGCAACTTTTCCTCCCCCTCTATGCTTTGTGAAAATTGAGGTTGAGTGGTGATTTTGTGAAATAAGTTTATTTGATTGCGTGTGGTGTGTTGCACGAGTTTGCAAGAGTCTATTGAGTGTGCTCGAAGGGTTAGTGTAGGCTACTAGCACGTGTAGTTGAGTTGGGATACCCTATTTAGGAAAATTTATGAAAATGTGACAAAATGAGTTTTAGTGTCCAACTTCTTATAGAAAATGAGTTTAATGTGAAACTTATGCTATTAGCTAGAATTAGGAGAAAGCTCTGTGTAGACACCAAAACCATCTCAATCGGACGTCAGACGAAGATTTGGAACGCATTAGAAGTTTGCTCCCTGTGCTGTCAAATGACAACACTGATCTATCAAATTTCATGCAGTGCGTCGCAGCGCATGATACAGAAAAGACACGTTGCGACGCACAAGCCATAAGCCATAGCGCACATGTCATTTTCTGCATAGAAATGATTTTGAGTTCTAACACTCATTATTTGGGTCCCAATTGATTTTCAAGCTTTCACTTTGTTTTTAAAACTTTGATTTGAAGTCCTTAAAACATGTTTAAGATTTGAACGGTTGAAAATTGGGATTCATTGAAATAAATTTTGAGAAATTCATTTATAAACCCTACAGTTTGGTAATTCTTGTGAGTTAAGTCCTGGATTATCATAATTTGGAGTTAAGTGTGATTTAACTTTAGGGATGTTATATAAATCATATCAATCTATGTCATGAGTCCTCTTATCCCTTGTTTAGACACTATAGAAAGAGATTTGATAGCAAATTGAGTTCCATACCTTAAAACTTCTTGCAAATATTAATGATCAAGCAAATAAGAAATTTTGCCCAAAATAAAGGGGCAAATTAAAGAGAAAGAAATGCAAAACTCTACCAAGATTAAGATTTCCACTGCATGCCATTTAATCAATTCATAAACAAGAAGAGGCCAGGAAAGGCCTTCCACAGGCCGCTACAATTTCAACTAACAATAATCATAATAAATTAAGTGAAAAACTTACTATAAGTAATTTGAGGATTAAGCTTGATCAATAGTTTCCATGAGATCATAAGACTATCCAACAAAGAATAGAAGGCAAAAGCACAATCAAAATTAAAAATAAAACCTAGAGATTTGGAGATTGAATTGTTGAAGCAACAGTTGAAACAAAAAGAATTTGAAATCTCCATGCTGATCAATAAAAGGCAACTTCAATGCTAGGGAAATCAAGGTTTAGATAAATCTTTGGTTGATTGATCTACGTGGAGGCATAGGCGAGGATGACAAGCCAAGTAAATCCATTTATGGTGAATAAGGGCAGTGTTCTAGTGATTTTCAATTTCAATAGCAGCTTTGTGATAGAAATGACACTTGTTTCCATACCTTAACCCTACTTCATACTCCAAATCACTAATAACAACTCAAAGCTGGCGACTAAATTGGAGAATTAAAATGGATCTCAAGGTTGAAGATGAAAGGTAAGGAGGAAAGCAATAAACGAAGACTAATAGACGTACATGGCGCTTCATTGATGTCAAAGTCGTTGCCAGCTGAAGTTGTGATAGGTGCCGGGGTAGAGCAAAGGATTTGGTTAGGGCATTTTGATCATTTGAAGCTTCACACTTATGTCAATAAAAGACCTCATTTTAGAAAACTCCCCATGTCCTTATGAGCAATTATATTTGTGGTTAGGTATTTTTCAATGATTTTCTCATATTCTTAAAGTGCATGTCAAAAGTGCGTGTTCCTTGAACTTTTTTAAGCGTAATCTTTCTCATCAGCGTTTAAAAATAATACAATATAATTTGGCATTAATAACTAATAAATTTGACCATTAATTGTTTAGCAAATTAGAGAAAAAAATCTCAAAATTTATATAAAAGAATATAAAAAAATTACAAATAATTATAAATATACCACAGAATTAAAAAATTAATATAGATTAAGTTTTCTAAATTATAAATAAATTTCAATAGACTTTGTTATTTCTTTTTTTTTGGGTGAATGAAATTGTGTTATTTTTTACCTATGTAAAAAATAAAAATATTATTTTAACTAGCGATTATGGGTGGTTATTGGAACACCATTGTTAACAACAAGATTGGTAAGTACTCTCTCCATTCAAAAATATAAGACATTTTTTAAAGAATTGGATATTAAAAAATGTAAAGCATTTTTAGTCTTTTCAAGTATAATTATTGCCTTTTTTTTAAAGGTGCCTCTGTTTGATAATGACTTCATATATTACTGTAGAGTGTTTATAGGGGTAAATATAAAAAATAGAGTTAGTTAAAAAATAAATAATCACTTTATTGGGAGGTAAGATTCGATTAAAATTTTCTTAAATTTTCAAACGGAGGGAGTAACTAGGAACATATTATAATTGTTTTAATAATATCTTATTAAAATGTTAATACTTTAATATATAATAATTTAAATATTATTATTATTTACATGTCATCATATACATACAATTTACGAGTCAATTTTTTAGATTTAAGAATTCTCCAAAAATTATATTACAACTTAACTTGTGTATCTATAATCTAAAGAGGAATGCACGTTTTACCTTAGCTACAAGTTTTTAAGGAAAGACATGCTCCTTTTGTTAAAAAATATAAGACATTTTTTGAAGAGTTGGATGTTAAAAAATGTAGGGTATTTTTAATGTTTCGAGGTGTAATCATTACCTTTTTTTTTCAAAAGTGTCCCTATTGATAGTGGCTTTATATTTATTAAACTGTATTTAATAAGAATAAATATGAAAAGATAAGATTAATTTAAAAGTAGATAACTACTTTATTGGAGGTGATATTTGGTTAAAAATACCTTATATTTTTGTATGGAGACATTATAACTTTTGGATAAAAATTTATAATTCATCATACTATTTTAGTTCATAATGCAATTAGTGTCATATATGAATCTTGAATACGCAAGTTAATTAAAAGAAAATTTATAAATTTTGACATAATATTTATAAATAATAATAATATTTCAATTATAAAATATTAAATTATTAATATTTTAATAAAATATTATTTTTAGTTATTTTTTGATATTGTTATTAATGGTGATATGATAATCTGTACTCAATCAAAATGATATTTTTTTCTCTTACATTTATTTTAGAAATTTAATAGGAAAATTAATCTTTTAATCCTTCAATTTTTAACTCACTTATAACTCAGTTCCTCAACTATGACTCTTTGCGACTCAGTTCTTCAACTATAACTCGCTGTGACTTAATCCCTCAACTTTTGATTCACCTATAATTCAATCCTTATTTTTTATTTTTTAAAAATTTTTTTATCAAATAAGAGGGATAAAAAATACTCATATATTATTTTAAAATACCCTCTTCTTGCTCATTGATGTGAGATATAAGCTATCATGAAAAAAAAATTAACAAAAGTTTAGGGACTAATTTGTAAGTGATTTAAAAGTTGAGGGATTGAGTTATAGGCGAGTCATAATTGAGGGATTGAGTCACAGCGAGTCATAATTGAGGGACTAATTTACAAATGAATTAAAAATTGGAAGACTAAGAGATCAATTTTTCCAAATTTAATTGATATTAATTTTTTATAATTAATTTATTAATAATTTTTGGGACAACCTGTTTAATAAAATATTTTATTTTGTTTTTACTACTATAGTTTTTACTGTTCATATTAAATCTTAACAGTTTGAATTTTATTATTTATATTTTTTATAATTTAACATTTCAACAATAATTTTACAGGAGATCACATATAAATCATCTAAATTTTAAGCTAATGATTAGGGGGGAAAAGAGGGAACTGGATGGAAAAGGAAGATAAGAACGTTATGTCAATGATTATATTGAGTAAATAATCAATTAAATATAATTACATAACCCCAGCATGCATGCATTAACAAATTTGAGCCCCAAACTACGTATGCTAGACATATGATTTGATATGCCTATGCTATGCATGACAAGTGCAAATATGGAGTCAACAGAATGGTGTTCTGACCTGGCGGATGGACTATTGAAACGAACACCACGTGTGCACATGAAATGCTGACGTGTCAAAACACTGCAGCCTCATCGTCATCATGCTGAAGGAACACAAGACAGCGAGTATAAGAAACTGACCTGAATTAGGATATACGCTTAGTCGATCCTCTTCGATTTCACACCATGACCAACAAGTTTTCGTGGAAGCTAAGTAGAGGACGACGGCACGTATACAATTTGATGAACAGATGTTTAGCCTCTCGTTCTATAGTATGACTTTGGATATAAGGAGATATCAATACGACATACTCTCTCTGGTATACTTTACAGGTCACATTTTAAAAGTATGAAATGATTCATTTTATAAGTTATTGAATTGATAATGATATTTTATTTTAAATAAAATGTTTAAATTATCTTTAAAAAGTAAGAGAGAGAAATAAAAAAAATATTATATAGTTTATTTATTTTTTAAGAGTTATGTTTATAATTTTATAAAATTTTATTTTTTATATTTTTTTATATTAATATTGATAAAATTGATAAAAATAATTTATAAATAAATTCGGAAGAAGTGTGACTTTGGATTTTCTGTCTCATTCTCTTTGTCTTTATGTGGATTTATTTTGATAATAAATAAGTTCCATTTCGACGTACGTGTAAGGGCAAGATGATCCCACACATCCTTTAGACCTAGCTAATTCTATTTAATAATACGAGAAATTGAAGAAGATTCCAAATTCTCATGAAGAGTTTGCTCTTCTCACACCAGCTGGTCACACAGCTCAGTGATCTCTGCCACGTTAGCCCCATGCATGCATGTCTACGTGGGACCCAATGTGCCATCCACGTAACGTATTCCATTTATCCATCTTCCTCCTCTCTGTCTCCCCTTTATAAGTGATCATCATCTCCTCTCTCCGAGAACAAACTAACCCAACGGTCTGTGTGTGTAAGAGAACGGAATCGATGGCTTCCACCGACCAGTCACCGGGTCCGACACCGGCGAAGGGATCACCATCGGACCCTACTCCTGGGGCGCCGATGTCTACAGGGCAGAAGGCGATCGACACGGGGGCAGAGATGATGCAGACTCTGAAGCCGATCAACCAGTTCAGCCTGCATGCATGCAGCTTCGGAATTTTCAGCCACGATATGAGCCGGCAGATCGAGACCCATCACTTTTGCTCCCGCCTTTCCCAGGACTTCGTCCAATGTGCAGTCTACAGCTCCAACGATCGCAAAGCCCGTCTCGTCGGTCCGCACCACTTCACTTGTTCTTTTTCTTCTCTTATCTGTCTTTCATACATATATTGTTAACTGTAAACGGCATTCGAAGTTGATTTTAGTGTGTGTGTATACACTTGAGTATTAATTCTTCATAAATGACTCATGGTGACCAAGATATTGTTATTTAGTTAAAATAAAAAAAAATCAATTTTAATGTAGTTTATACTTTGAATATTGATGCCATCTTATGGATAGACAAGTTCTATATGTCATTTATTATATGCATAATGCAATATCATATTTCATTACCATATATATTTTGAAGTAGTTCACATGATAGAAGTTGACACTCTATATATAGCTGCTCAATATCTTGTTGTAATACTTGAATGTTCAACTATGATAGAAAAGAGACCCTAAATATAGGTCACAGTAGAGTTGAATTATTTGACATTTATGTATTTATATCATGTACGATGTGTATAAAATAATGTTCTTTTTCATAATGTCTTTGTTGGCAGGTGTGGAGTATATTGTTCCTGCTAATATATTTGAAACTTTTCCACCGGAGGAGCAGAGGCTTTGGCATTCTCATGCTTACGAGGTTTTGAGCTAATTAATAAGAACATTCGACAGTTGTATATTTTCTGTTTGTAGTATATTCATGCATATATACACATATATCTCTTATGAATGGATGCAGATAAAATCCGGGATATGGGTGAACCCCAGAGTTCCTGAGATGATCGCAAAGCCAGAGCTTGAAAACTTCGCCAAAACTTACGGCAAGTTCTGGTGCACGTGGCAAATTGATCGAGGTATATATATTTGGATCATCACTCACAGATGGATTCAGTGAGAAAGTTAGGAATAGTTGAATCTGGCTCTACTCATATATATGATTGAGGTTGATTGTGGGAAACAGGGGACAAGCTGCCAATGGGGGCCCCAGCACTGATGATGTCCCCACAAGCTGTGAGTCCTGGGATTGTGAGACCAGAGCTGGTGCATGAGAGGGATGCCAAGTACGGCATATCTTCAGAGAGACTGCAGAGCCCAAGGATGGAGATTGAAGAGCCTGAGATGATCAGTCCCATTGCAGATTATTGGAAGCAACATGGCAAAGGGTTTGCCATTGACTTTGAAGAGACTGAAATGAAACGCAATGCACCTTTTCCTTGAACACTTGCGTATCTGTGTGTGTAGTGTGCACTTGTGTGTTGAATAATTTTGGTATGACCTTTTATAAATTTAGAAAATTATTTAGAGATGTTATATCTAGCATGCCTCGCCAGTGCAACTCTCAATAATAAGTAATAAATCTCTAGATGTTGCATTTGCTACTGACTTGGTTGCTTTCCATTCCTTTTATTTTAGCTATGTTGCACACAAACACTACCTCATGCCTCTATTATAAGGTCTAATGCCTCTATTATAAGACATCTTTAATAATCTTGGAACTAAAAAAAAGTTGTTAAGTCATTGATTTTGTTTGAAAAAAGAATAAATTTTTAATTTCACTTTTATTTAAATGAAAAAATTTAATTGTTCATTATATTTTTTTTCATAATTAATGAATTTAAATAGAGATAATATTAAAAAAATGTAAGTAAGTTAAGAGCCATTTTTTTAGTGCTTTTTCATACCCACCGGAAGAAGTGTGTGTATATATATATATATATTTAATTTTGAGTAAGATACAGTCTTCATGAGAAGAAAAAGGGAAACATTCTTTGATCATAAATAAATATTAAATACTCAAAACTTCGTAGAATGGTTGACAGAGACAAAAGTGTTTTATGTGAATACAAATTTGAAGATGATTCAAGAGCAGGAGGTTGCGATCCAACTTAAAAAATATTGAGTGTACTGTTGAAGGATTGTGAAGGGAGACACACAAAATTTGGGAGAAATGAATTTTAAAACAGAACAAAGACAAAAAAAAAAAGGAATAAAAAAAAGAAGGAAAGCAAATTGTTGTAAGTCCATGTCCAACCTGTGAAAGTATTTGCTGTGACACAAAGTCTTCACCTTTAGTCCTCTACTTCCTCTGTGCGTGTGTGTGTGTGTTTTTTTTTTTTTTGGGCCAACCTTTACTTCCCCTGTTAAAATATAGGCAGAATGAAGGTTAAGTATCAAGGAAAGTAATTAATTCAAATTAAGTCTTAATTAATTTTAAAGTTTCAACAAAGTCTCTTGAGTAGTAATAGGTCTAACAACTCCAAATATTTTTAAATTCAGCTTTTAATTTTACAATTTTATTGTAATACATTTGTAACTTATTTTTTTAAATTTTAGCAAGGTCGAAGAATAAACAATGGGCAATAGAAAAATGGATGATCTAATTATTTTATTGATAAATAGGAAATAAGCAAGGAATAAACAATATACTTAATATTTCTCAACATTAAAAATGAACATTTGTATTTTTTATTTAAATTTAAAAAATAAATTATAAATGCATAACAATAAAGTTGTAAAATTGGGAGTTGAGCTTGCAAATCCCTATAGCTATACATAAATATGAACATTTATGTTCCTATTAAAATTAGAAAATAAATTACAAGATTGAAAACTGAACTTTTAAATTTCTTAAGCTATTAGATTTAATACTTCTTAACATTAAAGATAAACATTTATATTCTTGCTTAAATTTGAAAAATAAGTTGTAAATATATCACAATAAAATTATAAAATTAAGAGCTGAACTTATAAAATTGACCCTCTTGAAAATTAACTGCCATTCTCCCTAAAATATAATCACAAAGCTTAATTCCAATTTCTGGGATCTTTCTCTCCTTTGTACTCCTATCTGATTTTCCGTTACTTCTTCCTTAAAAACAAGGTAATTCTCAATGATCCAAACATCAAACCGTTCAGTTTTCTCATAGATCTCCTTAAGAAAGGTGCTCCTCTGTTCCTCTATTACTATTTTGTGCTCTGAAAATCACATTCTCTCTTAATCTTCCCTTTTTTCCCTAATTTGTTTTCTCTTTGTTTTTTTATTTTTTTTCTCTAGGTCAATTGGTTCTAATACCACGTCAAATTCTTTATATTAAATTAAATATGCCTTTTTTTCTCTTTATTTATTTTTATTTTTTTCTCTAGGTCGATTGGTTCTAATACCATGGCAAATTCTTTATATTAAAATTAATATGTCTAAAGATGATCTACTTCAGACATATTCCAAATTTTGTATATCCCTAATATATTTTCTAATTATTCGATATGGAATTTCTTCATTGATAATAATCCTAAATAATCAAAACTTCATACAAATGTGAAGATAATTCAAGAGCAGATTGAAATCTACTTTTAAAATAGGAAAAACACAATCATCAGTCCCTAAAATTTTATCAAATTTTACTTTTAATCCCTATAATTTTTGTCCATTGTTCTTATAAAGATTAAAAACATTGAAAAAACTAAAACTATAGAGACCTGGGAAACAAATACGACCCGATATTTCTGAAATTATAGAGATTAAAAATACTGAAAAAAAATTATAGGGACTAAAGCTAAATTTGATGAAATTATAAATATTAATAATTATGTTTTTCTTTTAAAATATTGAGTGTATGTCATGACATAATACAAGGCTTATTTGTAATGGGCCAAGAAGTGGTATGGGCTAGGGGTGGAGTTAATGGACCGAATAGGATGTCAAAGTGCTTGTATGCCATAGATTATATGTACACAGAAGGCGCTTTGAGAAGAGTGTGGATGAATTTTGTGAAACCTCTCTCTCTCATCTAGCATATCTCTTCTCTCTGGCCATAGTCTGGAGTTTCTTTTCTTTTTCTTTTTTAGTTTTTTTATTATAACAGACTCTGGAGTTTCTTCTTTCTGCAACTTTCTGTGGCTTTCCCTTCTCTTATGCTTTTTGTTTCCATTATATCATATTTTGTAATTTTTACTTAATTATGTTGAAATGATGTATTTAGACTTGGAATTTCCATTAAACAGAGATTAGTTGTGTTTTTTGTCATATTAGTAAATTAGTAAGTTTTAAATTCATGACAGTGTACTGCTGAAGGATGGTGAAGGAAACACAAAATTTGGGAGAAATGAATTTTAAAACAGAACAAAGACAACAAGAAAACGAATAAAAAAGAGAAAGCAAACTGCTGCAAGTCAATATAATGTCCCTGTCAAAACAAGATCTAACCTATGAAAGTACTTTCTACGACACGGTCTTCACCTTTACTTCCCCTGTTAAAACATAATCACGAAGCTTCATTCCAATTTCTGGGATCTTTACCTCCGTCATCCTCATATCTAATTTCCCGTTACTTCTTCCTTAAAAAGAATCTAATTCTCAAAGATCCAAACATCAACCCTTTCAGTTTTCTCATAGATCATCTTGAGAAAGGTACTCCTCTTTTCCTGTATTACTATTTTGTGCTCTGAATATAACGTTCTCTCATGTCCTGATTTTCACTACAGGATTCATAATGTTGCGGTCTGTTGTAGCAATTACCGGAATTATTGGCCTTGCTGCAATTTCGCATAATCTTCTTCGTCATTATCTCACTTCAAGCAAATCCCTGACACGCAAGCCTCAATCGGGAGACAAGAACCAGAAGAAACCTGGGTGCACAGTACAAGAAGCCATGATTTCCAATTTCGATGCTTTGGATGTTCTGGATGATCTTTATAGTCTTTTCGAGTTGTTCCAGGAATTACACTGTCATTTAATGGAGGATATGACACGTAGGATACCTCCACCTCTTTTTGAATATCAAGGGAAGTCTTGCAATTCCAATGCTTTTGATTCTTTAGAATGGAGAAAGCCAATCCTGGGGAATGTTATGGAGGCATTAACTGATCCTACTATTCATCTCATTGGAGTTTATGGCTTACATGATGAGATCAAAGACACTCTGCTTCAGAGAGTTCGCAGAAGAGTGCAAAGAGACCAACTATTTGACATGGTTGTGACTGCAGCTGTAACCAAATATCCTGATATGAGGAAGATTCAGGAGGATATTGCAAGTCAACTAGGGCTTGCTTTTATTCACGTGTCCAAAGATAAAAGAGCCATTGAACTTATGGATAGGATCAAGAATGAGCAGAAAATTCTCGTTGTACTCTGTAATCTTCACAAGGGGCTTCACTTGGGCAAACTAGGAATTCCATATGGTGCCAATCACACAGGCTGCAAGATATTACTCACTTCTACATATGAAGACGTGCTATCCAACCACATGCATACCCACATAAATTTTATGGTCTAATAATTCTATTTCTTGATAAAAGGCTTGACCCTTTTTATTGAGAGTTTTCTAATTGTGTGTGTCTTTGTATTGTAAGGGGATTATGTATAGTATGTGTTTGGTGGTGAAAAGTTTATTAGTGATAGAAATGTGAATGCAATGTGGAAGACAAGTCATCAAGTCAATTCCACAACATGGTCCCTCAAGTTGAAATTAATAACTCCGTGTATGCTTGCTTTTATAAATATGATACCACTAGTTTGCTGAATATTTTTTTTTCGATAATTAAAGATTAAGATAATTTAATCAATGATGATGATTTAAACTGCGTGAATAAAAGAAATTATATTAACAAATTTTTGAACTTGACAATGTTAAAATATATTTAGTTATGGAAGAAAATCATGGATACAGCACTGATTATAAATTAATTATCAAAATATGAATTAGTGGTCTCTGTTCTTTGTCATAACCAACTTTCTTTTCTTGTTAAAGTTTATTGTTCCTAATGTTGAGTGTACTCGTTCTAGCTGAAGAGAATAATGTTAATGATGGTAAAGGAAAAAAAAATTTGGGCGAAATGATTTTTTTTTTTTTTTTTTGAGTTCAAAGAAGCACCAAGCGAACAGTGAGAAGCATGTGTGATTCTGAGCACACAGCACAAATCCTCTTTTTTTTTTTTTTTTTTAATCTTTGTTGACAAACGCGGAAAGCGATGAATGAAAACAAGAGTAGAAATAATAATTATGAGGAATTAATGTAGAACACAGGAATAGAAAACCAGAAACAAGTCCTTTTCTTTTTCTTCCATCTTCAGCGACTTGAACGATGTTGCAGAGAGAAATTTGATTCTGTGAAGAGAGAGAAATGAGGGCAAAGGGAGCAGAGAAGAGAGAGTAAAAGATGGATGAAATGAATTTTAGAACAAAAAGAGAAAGCAAACTGATCTAAGTCAATGACCCAGTCAAAACATAATCTAAATTCTAACCTATTAAAGTACTTCCTGCAACCCAAGTCCTATCCCAGGTCAAAAAAAAAAAAGAAAAAACAAGTCCTATCACCTTTAATTACTTCCCATATTAAAGTATAATCAGGGAGCTGCATTCTAGTTTCTGGGAAGTTTCTCCCCTTCACACTAGCTCCCATTTGAATTATATCCTGTTATCTCCAGCTTCTTGAAGACCGAAACAGCCATTGATCTCTCTGAGTAAGTCACTCCTCTGTTGCTATATTTTTACACGATAACATGTGGGCTGTGGTAGCAATTATTGCCGGAATTATTGGACTTGCAGCAATTGCTCACAGTCGTCTTCGTCATTATATCATTTCAAGCAAATCCCAGACACACAAACCTCAATCCCAAGACAAGAACCAGAACAAACTTGGGTGCACGGTAAAAGAAGCCATGATTTCCTATTCTGATGCTTTTGATGTTTTGGATGATCTTTATGCTCTTTCCGAGTTGTTCCTGGAATTACTCTGTCATGTAATGGACGATATGATACCTACGAGGGAACTACAAGCGAACTTTTCCAATTCCAATGCGTTGGATGCTTCAGAATGGAGAAAGCCAATCCTGGGGAATGTTATGGAGGAATTAGCTGATCCTAATATTCACTGGAGTTTATGGCTCCCAAGATGAGATCAAAGACACTCTGCTTCAAAGAGTTTATAGAAGAGTTCAAAGAGACCAACTATTTGACAAGGTTGTGACTTCTACAGTAAATAAAGATCCTAAAGTGAGGAAGATTCAAGAGGATATTGCGCGTCAACTAGGGCTTACACTTAATCAAAAGTCCAAGGACAATAAACGAGCCAACGAACTGATTCAATGGATCAAGAAGGAGCAGAAAATTCTGATTGTACTTTGTGATCCGTACAAGAGGCTTGACCTGGGTAAGATAGGAATTCCCTATGGTGCAGATCACAGTGGCTGCAAAATATTACTCACTTCCACAACTGAAGATGTCCTATCCAACCACATGCATACCCAAAAAAATTTCCTGGTCTGATGATTCCCTTCATGTATAAATGCTTTAAACTTTTGATTTAGAGTTTCCACGTCATAAGGGGCTTATTATATGCTTGCTCTTTTTTTCCTCTATAGGATTATGTAGAATAATGGCATCTGGAGGTTGCGTTTAATAATAATTAATATTGCGTAGTTTTCGGTGAAAGACTTAGCCTGTGTTCTGTAATCTGTCATAAGCTTATGCAAGGTCATGAAGCCGCACAACAATTTCTAGGATATTCCTCTCCCCTTCAGCCTGTTATGTAATTTTTCTTCTTCTTCTCACAGGGCATTAATTTGGTGTATTTGGGTTAAAGGTTATATAAATTGAAGTGGATTACCAGAAATGGAAGCTAGCTTTCTGAAGTCTCTTACCAATTTGTTAAAGTTATTAATGACGTCAGGATGTGTATTAACCAAGTGCGTCATGTCCAATATATGAAGCTTGAAAATAGAGAAACTGATGTGCAAGGAGATGACACACACACACACGACATGTCCCTAATTGGTTGCAAGAATTGCAATGAAATTTTTAGCATTGAGGATGAGGGCTCTGTATACTTATTAAATTTGGCTTTGATCATTTGATGACCAGAAATGAAAAAAAAGACATAAAAAAATTATAAAAAAAGTCTCAAAAATTACAAAAAATTACAATAAAAGGCCCAAAAACTACAAATAAGTCGTTTTTTTATAATTGTTGATATTACTTTTTAGTCAATTAAAAGTTAAAATTAACTTTTGTTTACAACAGAACCTAAATTATACTATTTTTAAAAGTTGAAAGGACAACTTGTACAATAAACAAGTTTAAGGTCTGTGGTGGTATTAGATTTAAAATTTAAGGATAATTTGCTTATTTATCCTTAAAAAAGGTATAAATTACAAGAAATGAAAAAGAGAAACTCAATGTGATGAGACTTGCTTAAATTGTTGTGCCACTTGTAAGATAGAACTAACTGCTTGGATTAAAGAGAGAACAAGCAGCAGAATTCCAGCAAATGAGGCAGCAGTATTCCAAGGGGTGTTGCAGTAGTCATGTCTCAAAGTGGCCTTTATGTATTTCTAAGGACTTATTGCAGAAGGAAGGAATTCAAGTCCTTGTGGAGATTTGAGTAACATGACAAGAACGATACATTTAATAATACAATGTTTGTCTATTATACATGGTCCGTACGCTTTTGGTAGAACAGTAATGTGTAAGTTTTTTAAATGTATAAATAACAGAATGTCTGTGACCGTCGCAAGTTAATGTCTCCTATTAAAATATAATCACGAAGTTCCATTCCAATTTCTAGGTTCTTTCTCTCCTTCAAACTCCCATCCAATTTCCTGTTGCTTCTTTCTTGAAAAGAAGCTACTGCTCAAATATCCAAACATCAACCCTTTCAGTTTTCTCATAGATCTCCTTGAGAAAGGTATTCTTCTGTTCCTGTATTACAATTTTGTGCTCTAAATATTACGTTCTCTCATGTCCTGATCTTCACTACAGGATTAATTATGATGCGGTCTGCTGTAGCAATTGCCGGAATTATTGGCCTCGCTGCAATTTCTTATCGTCTTATTCGTCATTTTCTTGCTTCAAGCGAATCCCACATAGACAAGCCTCGATCCAAAGACAAGAAGCAAGATAGAGATTATTCAGGGCCTGAACCAAGAATGCACAACAGGGAGGCATTTCCGTGCAACTCCAATGCTTTTGATGCTTTGGAATGGAGAAAACCAATACTAAATAGTGTTGTGGAGGCTTTATCTGATCCTAATACTCACTTAATTGGAGTTTACGGCTCACATGATGAGATCAAAGACACTCTGCTTCAGAGAGTTCGCAGAAGAGTTCAAAGAGACCAACTATTTGACATGGTTGTGACTGCAGCTGTAACCAAATATCCTGATATGAGGAAGATTCAAGAGGATATTGCAAGTCAACTAGGGCTTACTTTCATTCACGTGTCCAAAGATAAAAGAGCCATTGAACTGATGCATAGGGTCAAGAATGAGCAGAAAATTCTAGTTGTACTCTGCAACCTCCACAAGGGGCTTGACCTGGGCAAACTAGGAATTCCATATGGTGCAGACCACACAGGCTGCAAGATATTACTCAGTTCTACGTCTGAAGATGTGCTATCCAACCGCATGCATACCCATGTAAATTTTATGATCTAATAATTCTATTTCTTGATAAAAAGCTTCAGCCTTTTATTATTGAGAGTTTCCTAATTGTATGTGTGTGTCATTGTATTGTAAGGGGATTATGTATGTGTGTGTTAGTTTTTGGTTGAGACTTGGAAACTTTTGGGTGGTGAAAAGTTTACTAGTGATAGAAATGTGGAAGTCGTCAATTCAATTCCACAATGTGGTCCCTCAAGTTGAAATTAATAACTCGGTGTAAGCTTGCTTGTATAAATATAATCACCCTTAGTTTGCTGAATAATTTTTTTTCCATAATTAAAGATTAAGAGAATTTAATCAATGATGGTTGGGTTGTGCAAAGATGACTCCATGTCCTTTAAACAAAGTTGATGATGATTTAAACGTTGTGAATAAAAAAACATTATATTAAAAAATATTTGAACTTAACAATATTAAAAGATAATTAGTCATAAAAATCACTTTAGAGTGGCATGATAACCAAATATACAGCACTAGTTATAAATTAATTCTCAATATATGAATTGGCCTCTCTATTCTATATCATAACCAACTTTCTTTTCTTAATGTTGAGTGTAATTATTCTAGCTGAAAGAAAAAAATGATGATTATGATTGTAAAGGAAACAAATTTTGGGTGAAACGAATTTTAGAACAGATAAAGACAAAGAATAGAAAGCAAACTGTTCCAAGTCAAAGACCCAGTCAAAACATGATCGAAATTCTAACCTATAAAAGTACTTTCTGTAACCCAAGTCCTATCACCTTTAATTCCCATCTTAAAGTATAATCACGAAGCTGCATTCCAATTTCTGGGAAGTTTCTCTCCTTCACACTAGCTCCCATTTAAATTAAATCATGTTATCTCTAGTTTCTCGAAGATCCAAACAGCCATTGATCTCTCTGAGAAAGTTACTCCTCTGTTGCTATATTTTTACAGGATAAGATGTGTGCTGTGGTAGCAATTATTGCTGGAATTATTGGCCTTGCAGCAATTTCTCTCAGTCTTCTTCGTCATAATCCCACTTCAAGTAAATCCCAGACACACAAGCCTCAATCCCTACAGAAGAAACAGAACAAACCTGGGTGCACAGTACAAGAAGCCATGATTTCCAATTCGGATGCTTTTGATGTTTTGGATGATCTTTATACCCTTTTTGAGTTGTTCCAGGAATTACATTGTTATGTAATGGACGATATGATACCCAGGATATCTACGATGGAACTACAAGCGAACTTGTCCAATTCCAATGCTTTTGATGCTTTAGAATGGAGAAAGCCGATCCTGGGGAATGTTATGGAGGCATTAGCTGATCTAATACTCATCTAATTGGAGTTTATGGCTCTCAAGATGAGATTAAAGACACTCTGCTTCAAAGAGTTTACAGAAGAGTTCAAGAGGATATTGCACGTCAACTAGGGCTTACACTTAATCAAAAGTCCAAAGATAATAAAAGAGCCAACGAACTGATTCATTGGATCAAGAAGAAGCAGACAATTCTGATTGTACTTTGTGACCTGTACAAGAGGCTTGACCTGGGTAAGGAAGGAATTCCCTCTGGTGCGGATCACAGTGGCTGCAAAATATTACCCACTTCCACAATTGAAGATGTGCTATCTAACCACATGTATACCCAAAAAAAAAAAATCATGGCCTGATGATTCTCTTAATGTATAAAAGCTTTAAACTTTTGGTTTAGAGTTTCCACATCATAAGGCGCCTATTATATGTTTACTCATTTTTTCCTCAATAGCATTATGTAGAATAATGGCATCTGAAGGTTGCGTTTAATAATAATAATTAATATTGCTTAATTTCGGAGTAAGACTTTGAAACTTGTGTTCTGTTCATTGTTATGAACTCACGGAGTTGGTACTAATTCCACAAGATGGTCCCTCCATATTTGTAATTAATGGCTCTGCTTTCATAAGTTAAGATACTTGCCACAGCATAAGTCTTGCTTGCTCTTTACTTCCCTCTTTGAAGTATAGTCATGAAGCTGCACCACAATTTCTAGGATATTCCTCTTCTCCAGCCTGTAATTTCTCTCCTTCCCACAGGGTATTCATTTGGTCTATTTGGAGTTAAGGCTATAAATTGAAGTGGATTGCCAGAAATAGAAACTAGTTTTTTGAAGTCTTATCTAATTTGTTAAATTTATTAACAACGTCAGGTTGTGTATTAACTATATTGACCGTTACCTCTCCATATTCAAAACCTAAATGGAAAGGATCCATTCCCAGCACAATAAAACGGTTCAAAGTGAACCAACACATCATGTTCAATATACAAAGCTTAATGATAGAGGGACGGATGTGCAAGGAAAATGATGCGCGCGCGCGCACGACATGTTTCTAATTGGTTGCAAGAATTACAATGAAAATTTTAGCATTAAGGATGAGGGCTCTATACACTTACTTCCTAACAACACCCAAAAAAAAGGTATAAACTACCATAAATGAAAAAGAGAAGCTCAATGTGATGAGCCTTGTTTGTATTGTTGCACCACTTGTAAGATAGAACTAACCGCTTGGATTAAAGAGAGAACAAGCAACAGAATTCCAGCAAAAGAAGCAGCAGTCTGCCAAGGGGTGTTGCAGTAGTCATGTCTCAAAGTGGCCTTCATGTTATGCCAAGGACTTTTGCAGAAGACATCTAAGTCCTTGCAGAGATTTGAGTAATGTGAGTTGAAATTTACATTCGTGACATTTTTCCAGAGACTATTGAATAAGTTAGCCACAGAATTGGCATCCCCTAGCCAGTTAACAATGACTCCTTCCTGAACCAATAGATCCACATCATTACTTGTATTGATAAGGAAGTCCATGATAGCAACAAAGTCAGTAATGTAAGAATCAGAAGGATAGTGGCACTGCTCTAATGCCACTAGATTGCGAAACAAAGTTTCAGTTGAATCATCCACCTTTAATTCTGGTATTTCTAGAATTCGTCCTGAAAATTTAAAGTCAAGTAGGCACGGGCTTGCACTTTTCCTAAATCTCACCCCTGCTTCAACTAACTCAGTTGCGCTCTGAAGATTTTTCACCGACTTACTCTGTCTCCTTGGTTGATTGCTCAAATGGGGTAAGTGAAATGTTCTAATCAGATCTGTGAAGTGGCTTATGCTAACACCTTGAGGTTCTAACTTCATGTTGTTATAATAATCAAAGTAGTCGAAAGTAAGATGAAGAAATGGTGGATTTTCATGGCGCGTGTTGGAGGGAAAAACTCGATTGTATAGCCTGTCAAGTTCAGGAAAAGGCAGCTGATTCTCGAGCAAGAGCAAATCTAATCTCATGGTAGTGGCTTCCCATGGCTTTAACTTAATAACACCATCCCAATCACAATAATAGGACCTCCAAAATAGCTCAAATAAGAAGCAAGAATCAAAAAGAATCACCTTTACTAGTTCCTTAATGCTGAGCTCAAAGGGCTCTGCGTAATGAAGACGAACGCGAGGCTCAATCTCCTCAACAAAGCTGATCAATCGCTCCAAACTTGTGGTAGTGGAAATTCTTCGACAAAATTGGTTGACATACTGAAGCTTGTACCTTTCCATATTTTGTAGTCTGGGAAGGCCATAGTGAAAGGGGCCAATAGAAACCATCTTTGGGGTAAAGCTATCTTCATTCAGTCTGCGAATATCATTCGGGACCCTGTAGATGCAGCAGCACTCAGCAGCCATGGCTATTTCCGCTTGTTCCAGCATGGTGCTAATTTCAATTACAAAATCGTTGTGATTAGTGATTGCCATCTCGAACAGAAGCAGGGAAGATTGTACGTTGCAGGACCAGGTCCTATGGTTGGAGATAAAGAGGGTCTATTTTTTCAACATTAGGGACCACGGCGAAACTTCGCAAAGTTGCTTGTGAAATTTCTCCTCTTCTATTGGCCTTCATGGAAACTACAGTGCAGCTTCCAGTTTTATTGTTAGGCTTTTTCCTCGTCAACACAGGTCTGTTTATTTTCTTTCCGAAGTCTTATATCTCGTGGCGAGCTTCTCCATTTCCTACTACTCCAATTGAAATTTCCCTTCATCTCCCATCGCTTATATAAGAGGAAACTTGGTTGTAGCATCCAAAGCTCAAATTATAATAGATTGAAGTGGGTTCTCAGTGAAAAACAATATATCAAGCTTCCTGAATTCTCCAATTTCGTTGTCTTGAATCGCTTCATTCATCTCCATAAGAAAGGTACTCCTCTATTGCTGTGTTTCCATTTTGATTTTAGAGCTTCGAATTCATTAATTGCATTTTCCCTCGTCTCTCTTGATTTCCGATGCAGTTAAGTATAAAACCCTGTTCTTCTTCTTGTTCTTAATATTGCAATTGCAGGTGAATTATGTTGCTCTTATTGATTCCTTTTATTTGGGCTACGTATTTAATTTGGAGTAAAACATAGAGTTCGTCCCATAAAACATTTTCCCAGCCATCAGCTGTTTTTTATCCCATGGATCTCCATCCTTCACCAGGAGGAAATTTTCTGTCCAATCACATTAACTGGGATCTTTCACACCTTACTCGAATGTAAATTCAGCTAGGTTTCCAGAGAACTAAAGAAGGTTGTTTTCAAGTCCTAACCCACCCTTTTTTAGTCTATTCGTTGGTCCCCTTCCCAAAGTTACTCCTCCGTCACCACCGTTCCCTTCTTGTGCTCCGAATTAATTGCATACCTAATAGCTGATTCAGTTTGTGTGCTCTAAATACCAAATCTAGACCATCGGTTTAGATTTAATATTTCTTTATATTTTTAATATTTTAATTGATGCAGAATCTAAAGAAAAAGATAATTTCTCAATTTTTATTTTGTTAAGAAATGATTTTTATTTAAAAGTTATCATTTAAACATTTTAAATCTGAATAGTTGAACTGTATTTGGACTGTATAGATCTCACTGCAATGATGAGTAATGATGCTTACGGCTCCAGAGTTTTAGTTCATCAACATTTTAATGGTGGGGTTGTCATGTAATTAATTGCTAATCGTTGGCCGTTGCAGCAATTTATTGGAATCTTCTACGTCATCGATTCAATTCAAGCGGCAAACCCCATGGAGACAGCGGGCCATGAGTTCAACTCCAGGGATTGTATGGGTAGGGTCCTTCATCTCTTTTTCACTGCAGCATTAATTTTAATGGAGCTTGTTATATATTCTGTTTAATTCTATTTATGAGATTTTTTTTTTTATTGCTCTTTGATAGAGCTAGTAATATAGGCTTACCCATAACCAGTGGATTAGCCTATGGCTGGTTGTGGATTTGACGGATGAAGTTAGCATAATTCGCATCTTATATGAGCTGTATTTTTATCAACCCGCAGTAAGTTAATAAATTAACTTGCCAATAAAAAAATATTATATATATATATTAATTTTAAAAATTATAAATTAACTTCTTTTCATTGTTTTTTTCTTTTGCAGTAAAGTAAAAAAATCATATATTTTTTTAGAAATTAATTATTTAAATAACAATAAAACTCTTTCTAAATATTAGCCACACTAAGAATATCAATTGTGATTTTGGTTTTTTATGTTATAGAATTTCGTGATATTTTTCTTTCATAAAATTTTGTTTTGTTTTTCATTATTTCTGAATGCAGTTTGATCTACTCTGTACCATGAAACAGAATGGTATGGCACAATCCCTTAAGACGATCTAATAATAAAAAATGATATCTTTTGAGCAAATCAATTTGCTAGGTTAGTCGAGATTTGACTCCACTGGAAATCAATTTACTTGATTAAATTAAATTAGATGTATTTAACCTGTTAACTGTTCATGAAGTTGTGTGTGTGTGTTTCCATTGAGTGTGAGATTTTTTCCTCCATTTTAAATTTTAAACACAAGAATTTCCTTTTTATAAGCTTATTTTTGAATTCGAATTTACTCAATTTATAAGCTTATCTATTTTTTTGTGAGTATATCTTTATCTATATTTTTGGATAAAATATTTTTATCTATTTTACTCTCAGCATACTTCCTCTCGCCCCTATTATGTGATACCTTTTAAGAATATTCTTTGATCTTTATTATAAAGTAATAATTTATTATCATTTTTTAATTTTATCCTATTGAAAATTTAATTTTATGATTTATAGTATATTGTATATATTTCTCGTTCTATTTTTAATAGCAGTAAACTTGAAAAAAATTCATTTAAATTCATATTTAATGAGTTAATTATCATTCTTTAGTTCTAATGAAGTAGTTGAAAGTACATTATATTAGGTACCAAAAGGAGTAAATGAAACTTTTAATTTGACTAATGGTAATTATAAGAATTTATAAAAATTCTTGATATTTAATTAATTTTAACTAATTTCTTTACTGTAAGAAAATTAGTTAACAAAACCTTAATAAGAATAATGATGTTCAGTCTAGCTAAAGCAGCTAGTTACTTACAACATGGAGAATCAAAATTTGAATTCTCATTAACAGAGGTATTTATATTTAGTGTCCAATTGCATAAAAAGTATTATTCAACTTAAAAAAAAAAACATTAATCAATTAGAATCGCTGACTTACTTGATGAGATGGTAGAATAATTAATTTTAGAATCGTTGGCCTTACAGTTGAATGGGTAACTTTTCAATCTCTCACGTCGAATCAGAAGGGCCTTGAAGCTATGTTAGGGGGAGACGATATCCTTGAGAATGTCATGAAGGCATTAGCTGATCCAAACACTCATTTAATTGGAATTTATGGCCCACATGAGTGCACCAAACATGCTCTGCTTGAACTTGTTGGTAGAAGAGTTGATCGAGACCAAATGTTTGACAAGGTTCTCACTGTTACTGTGACCAGAAAAAGTTGTTCTTCTTTTTCGTTTGCCATGAAAACGGAAACACCTGATGTGAAGAAGATTCAAGAAGATATTGCACGCCAACTCGGGTTCAACTTTAATCACAAATCCACAAATAAAAGAGCCCAAGAATTGACCGATGGGATAGAGAAGGAGCAGAGGATTTTAATTGTACTGTGCGACCTCTTCAAGGGGCTTGATTTGGGTATGATAGGTATTCCTTATGGCACAGACCACCCAGGCTGCAAGCTACTGCTAACTTCTGCAGTTGAAGAGGTGCTATCCAACCAGATGCATACCCAGCAAAATTTCAATATTGGCTATTAAAAGCTTCAGCCTTCTGTTGAGAGTTTTAAGGGCTTTTTATGTGTTGGAGAGTTTTGTGTTATATATAGTATTTATGTGTTGGTTGCATTCGGTAATTTTCCTAGCTTCCGGTGTGCGCGACTGGAAGCTAATGTGCTGACGATGAACTTTCTTGATGTGATCAACTACGAAGGATAATATATACTTGGTCCCTAGTAAGGTGTGTTTGTCTCTCTTTGTCAACGTAACAAATTCTGATTACATTTCTCATTTTTCGAGGGGATCTGACACGGTCCCTGGTATACTCAAGAAAAGAACTCACAATATAAGAGACAGAATAAATTCAGTGCAGTATTATTGAAATCTCTCAGTGAAATACTATAAGTTTCAGTATAAGGAAAAGCATTGGATACAACTGAAATTATTAGTGAAAGTAATAGCAAGAATTGGTATAACAGAACCACAAAACAGAAAGAATGTTCACAGACAGAAAAAGAAAAGAACATAGAGAGAAAGTTCAAACAAATCTTCCACACCCTCCGTTCATGTTCCTTTGTAATCATATATCCTAATTTTCCAGGACCTTTCATGTTTTCTTACGCACACGAGAGCTGTGCCTAACGACCTTCTCTGTCTTATTCTCGGGTCCCTGAGTGTCTGCCACTTGTCCCTTCGGATTTCCTTGTGACAATCCACTAAATTTGGTGGTACATATGGCCATGTCATTACCACCATTAGCTGCACTTGTTACACATCCCACCCTTTTAAAATTGAACTTACCCTCAAGGTCAAAGTGGGGTAATGCTCCTGAATGCATTCCAAGTATTCTCAGGTGAGTGAAATGTCAAAATTCCATTGAATCAGGATCTGTTTCTTCCATTTACCCAAAACCTAAATTTCCATGCATTGGATAACCCTCACGGATGAAACTTGAGACTTTTGACGATCCAATAACAAAGGCAAGGGAACATAGTGTTCAGTTTCTTAAAGTAAAGAAACATGGAAGATAGGATGGATTCGTGCAGTGGCAGGGAGCTAGAGGCGATGTGGCACAGACTCAATTCATTTAGTCACCAGAAATGGACCATAATACTTAAGAGCTAATTTCTGATTCCTTCAGGTGTTAACTGAAGATTGGCAGTAAGGTTGGAGTTTGACAAATACAAAGTCTCCAATAGTAAAATAGACCTTGGTTGGCCTTCTATCAGCAAAACGCTTCATTTGGAGTTGGGCCTTGAGTAAGTTATCCTTCAACAAGGATAGGATCTTATCACGCTATTGCAGCTGTTGCTGCACATCATAGTGTGACACCTGAAAATGCGATGGGGATGGCATATGAGAGAGTGAAGGTTCTAGCTTTTAGAACAAAAGTTGGCGAGAGGTTCTGGCCTTCGGAGTAAAAACCAGCTGAATGGGAGTTGCCACTAAAATTTTAAGAAAAATATTAAAAAACTATTTAAAAGAAATAAGGATGGTTTGCGAAATCAAAATTAGGTTTAAGAGTTGTTTGAGTGTAGAGAAAGTATTAGACACCCCACAACACCGTTTCTAAAAACGGTTACTTGAAGTTAATTGTGATAAATTAATATGGCTTTAAGGTTATTTTAATTATCCATTTCTTATTCATATGTTTGATATAAAAAATGATAATAATTAAGTGAGAAATATTTATTTATTTACAAGGGAAGACTTGACTCAGAATTAGACTCTGAGGCTCACGTATCTTGCAATGAGGATCAATGTTCACATAATTTGAGATTAAAATTTTGTTAGTGAAAATAATTTTCTTGAAGAAAAATTAATTAAAAATAATTAACTGTTTTATAAATAAAATAATTTTCTGAAAATTTGATATGTATGTTTTAAATTATGAAAAGTAATTTAATTTTATTTATTTTTTTAATTTTTGAAATTCAGAAATAAGAAAAGGGAAAAGAGTTAAAAATTATTTTTTTATATTTTATTATTTTTTAAAGATTTAATTGCTATACTTGCAGAGCTTTATTAACTCATATGATAATGCAATTACTCTAAATATATATGAAGATTTGAAAATCTTGCATGACAAAAGAGTCTAACCACTTAATTTATTTACTTATATTTTTAAGTAATAATAATAATTTTTTAAGCACATATGTACATGTTGATTGTCATACTTATAAAGTCTTATTGACTTATACGGTAATATGATTATTCTAAATATCTGTGAAGATTTAAAATCCTCACACAAGATTAAATAATTTTTTAAAATATATTTTAATTTAATTTATTTCTTATGCACATATGTATGTATATAATTTAATTTTATATATAGAAATATTAATTGTTATACCTACGAAGCTTTATAAACATACACGATAATAAAATTATCCTAAATATTTGTGAAGATTCAAAATCCTCACACAATAAAAGATTAAATAATATTTATTTAAGTATATTTTTAATTTAATTGATATATTATGTTTGTATATAATTTATATATTTCTTTAAAAAAACTTAATTGTTATACCTAGTAGAGTTTTATTGACTTATGCAATAACATGATTATTTTAGAACTCTATAGAGATTCAAAAATTACCAAAAGATTTAATAGTTATTATTCAAATACATTAATTTAAATAACTAATTAGTGAGTTTTTTTAATGTTTATTATATTATTTTTACAAAATATGTTTATTTATTTACTATATAAATTAATAATTGCAACATCTATAAGAATTTATTATTTCACACAATAAGGCGATTAATTTGAATGTCTATGAAGATTCTTAAAGTTCACATGATATCATTTAAATATTTTTTTAATGATCTAGATCATATTTGGCAAATGATAAAAACAAACTTGTTAATGTAAATAATGAGTCATTGAAACTCATATTTAATATACATAAATTAGATCTTTATATATGTGAAATCTTACTGATTTACACGATAGAAGATCCTTTTATGGGAATTTTAATTTTCTCTTGCAATATTGATTATTTAAGAATATCCCTATTATGGTGCCTATCATCCAAAACTTATTGTATTTGACTCTACAAATGAACTCTAAAAATATTATAAATTATATATTTTAAATTGCACATGTAGAGAAATATGAATACAAAAATTTAAATTAGAAGTGCCTTTGTACAGGAAGAAAAAAATTCACCAATTATATTGTAAAATTGACATAAAGTTTATCGTCAGACTCTCAGAAACTAATGTAATTGAATAGGTAAATGAAATCTAAAAATTTTGAGAATTTTATGTCTCAAACAACAGTTAGAGAATGTCATGGATACAAAATTTCAGACTAAATTTTCCTCTGTATTAGCACATAAAAATACATTAATCAGGTTGCAATGCACTAATAGAGGAAAGCTTTTCATGATTAGTTCCAAAACCAACATATTTAACCACACAAATGGGCTCCAAAAATCATGAAAATCTTATATATCAAACAAAACAAGAAGAGGAATATATGTGCAAAATTTCGTGCAAGGATTACCTAGGTACAGCTAAGGAAAAATAAAAAAAGTGAGATGTCAGGGTGGTAGAATGTTTCTTAATCAACCTTCAAATCTCAACATACTTAATAAGAAAAATTAGATCTAAAAATCATAAAAATTTTATGCCTCAAACAAGACTTTAAAGAGACGTTGGATACAAAATTTCAAGTTAAAATAACATCTACAACTGTATATAAAAATCCACGAATACAAGAAATAGAACCAAGAAATGAAGATAAGTAAATCTAAGAATCAAAGTAAAGACTTTCATGCTCATAACAGTGGTAACCTCATCAGAGAAATCAAGGTCACATAAATGTCCTTTATCTTAAGCTATAACAATTTCAAGAATGAATGATTCCAAAAACTTAAATCTCAAAAATGACAGGTACACACAATTCATCGCATTATGTACCCAACAATTATCAACTCACAACAAACAACTTCGATAAATATCAAAAAAAGTGTGTTTTCAACCTTTTAATTTATATATCCATTTAAATTCATGACCAAAAAAGAACAAAGAGATTTCTACAGTTAGGCAGCATGTGTACAAATCTATTTGTATATCTTAACACTAATATAAACTTTATGAAATAGAATATTGAGATAGTTCAAAAATTAAAATATTTATTAAATCAAACTTAAGATTTACTTCAAACTTTTTAACATAATGGACATATTCAATTGTTCTTTCTTCCCCATTCAACATTTGATCTTCTCCTTTGCCATGTTTTGCTCCCTTTCTCTGGCTCTCAGTCATCCTCTTGCCTTCAACTCATCCTGCCTCAATTTCTCTCATGCTCTCTTAGTTCTCTCTCTCTCTCTCAAAGCTCTCAAAACTTTGCTCATCTCTGTCTTTGATCAGCCCCTGCCATATCTCCTTCAAGCTCTCTCGGTTCTCTCTTCGAACTTTAGATCTCTTTTCCTCTCTTGACTCAGGTCTCTCTTCAACTCTGCCCTTCCAAAAAATCGCTCCCCATTCGGCCTTTTTATCCCTCAGACTACCTCCCCTTTTATATCTCAGAAGAATATCATACTTGGGTAGTGTGAATCTGTGAACTCTGACTCGATTCAGCTTCTCCTTCCTCACACGGTGCCGAATTTCATCTGCAGAGCCGCTTTTCTTCACCCCCAAACTGTGCTCTTTTCCCTTTTCGACTAAATATATGTTTGAAATAATAGGAGCAGGAGAATACATCAATTTTTGGAGCTTGCGTGTGAGGTGACCGGAGTTTGCGTGTCTAACTCTGCCTTCTGATCTCTGAGATGTGACTATGGAAAATCGCAGAGGTGAGTCGACCATCGCTGTGCGCGCGCGCGCTTGTGTGTCACTGAATGAAGGACTTCTAAGTGGGAACTGATGGTTTCAGCGTCTTAACCTTGGATCTTTTTTTTTTTTTTTTTAAACTATAACTCTTTTTTTCAATTTTTAATTACGTTTATTATTTTTTTCACATTTTTAATTTAAAAGTATAATATCCAAAATGAAGGATCTTATCTCAAATTTAGATTTTCTCATTTTTAAAGTTTAAAGAGAATTTTTTAAAATTAATTTAAAGATTTTGCTGGATTTGTTTAACTACTATTTTTGAATTTTGATTTTAAAAAGAAAGATTTTCTAACATAAAAGATCTTTTCTTAATCCTAAATTTTCTTACTTCTTAAAATTTAAAATAAAATATTATTATTTAAAATTTTTTAAATTAAATGTTTTAACTAACTAAAAGAAATAAAATCCTAGTTAATAAAAGATTATTTAGGCTGAAATAAAATTAATCCCTATTTAATTAAATTTTTTATCTATATTATTAAAATTTTCTTTTGGTTAAATTTATTATTATTTTTATTAAATTTAAAAAATATTCAAACAAAATATAGTATTCACACATAAACTACTTCAACAAAGTTTGAACATAGCAAAATGGCAAGAGGTTCGCGACCATATAACACCTTAAAAGGAGACATCCCAAGTGAGTATGGAAAGGAGGTATTATATCAATATTCAGCCCAAGCTAAGTATGTCAGCACTGTTTAGGTGAATTAAAAACAAAGCAGCACATGTACATCTTGAGGCATTCATCGAGTACTTCAATTTGCCTATTTATTTGAGGATGATAAGTGATGCTCATTTTAAAGTCAACTCCTTGGAGCTTAAATATTTTGCCAAAAATAACTGAGGAAGACCTTGTTACGATTAGACATGATTGACTTGGGTATACCATGCAATTTAACCACTTCAGAAACGAAAGCTTCAACCACCTGTGTGCTGGTATAGGAGTTAAGAACCAGAAGAAACCTGGGTGCACAGTACAAGAAGCCATGATTTCCAATTTCGATGCTTTTGATGTTCTGGATGATCTTTATAGTCTTTTCGAGTTGTTCCAGGAGTTACACTGTCATGTAATGGAGGATATGATACGTAGGATACCTCCACCTCTTTTTGAATTTTAAGGGAAGTCTTGCAATTCCAATGCTTTTGATTCTTCAGAATGGAAAGCCAATCCTGGGGAATGTTACGGGGGCATTAACTGATCCTACTATTCATCTAATTGGAGTTTATGGCTCACATGATGAGATCAAAGACACTCTACTTCAGAGAGTTCGCAGAAGAGTTCAAAGAGACCAACTATTTGACATGGTTGTGACTGCAGCTGTAACCAAACATCCTGACATGAGGAAGATTCAGGAGGATATTGCAAGTCAACTAGGGCACGTGTCCAAAGATAAAAGAGCCATTGAACTGATGCATAGGATCAAGAATGAGCAGAAAATTCTCGTTGTACTCTGTAATCTTCACGTGGGGCTTCACTTGGGTAAACTAGGAATTCCATATGGTGCCAATGACACGGGCTGCAAGATATTACTCACTTCTACATATGAAGACGTGCTATCCAACCACATGCATACCCACATAAATTTTATGGTCTAATAATTCTATTTCTTGATAAAAGGCTTGACCCTTTTTATTGAGAGTTTTCTAATTGTGTGTCTTTGTATTGTAAGGGGATTATGTATAGTATGTGTTTGGTGGTGAAAAGTTTATTAGTGATAGAAATGTGAATGCAATATGGAAGACAAGTCATCAAGTCAATTCCACAACATGGTCCCTCAAGTTGAAATTAATAACTCCGTGTATGCTTGCTTTTATAAGTATGATACCACTAGTTTGCTGAATATTTTTTTCCGACAATTAAAGATTAGGTTAATTTAATCAATGATGATGATTTAAACTGCGTGAATAAAAGAAATTATATTGACAAATTTTTGAACTTAACAATGTTAAAATATAGTTAGTTATGGAAGAAAATCATGGATACAGCACTGATTATAAATTAATTATCAAAATATGAATTGGTGGCCTCTGTTCTTTGTCATAACGAACTTTCTTTTCTTGTTAAAGTTTATTGGTCCTAATGTTAAGTGTACTTCTTCTAGCTGAAGAGAATAATGTTAATGATGGTAAAGGAAAAAAAATTTGGGTGAAATTGAGCTCAAAGAAGCACCAAGCGAACAGTGAGAAGCATGTGAGATTCTGAACACACAGCACAAATCCTCTTTTTTTTTTTTTTTAATCTTTGTTGACAACCGCGGAAAGCTATGAATGAAAACAAGAGTAGAAGTAACAATTATGAGGAATTAATGTAGAACACAGGAATAGAAAACCAGAAACAAGTCCTTTTCTTTTTCTTCCATCTTCAACGACTTGAAAAATGTTGCAGAGAGAAATTCGATTCTGTGAAGAGAGAGAAATGAGGGCAAAGGGAGCAGAGAAGGGAGAGTAAAAGATGGATGAAATGAATTTTAGAACAAACAAAGACAGAGAAGAGAAAGCAAACTGTTCTAAGTCAATGACCCAGTCAAAACATGATCTAAATTCTAACCTATTAAAGTAATTTCTGCAACCCAAGTCCTATCCCAGGTCAAAAAAAAAAAAAAACAAGTCCTATCACCAGAAAAGGGCCAATAGAAACCACCTTTGGGGTAAAGCTATCTTCATTCAGTCTGTGAATATCATTCGGGACCCTGTAGATGCAGCAGCACTCAGCAGCCATGGCTGTTTCTGCTTGTTCCTGCATGGTGCTAATTTCAATTACAAAATCGTTGTGATTAGTTATTGCCATCTCGAACAGAAGCAGGGAAGATTGTACGTAGTGGGACCAGGTCATAGGGTTGGAGATAAAGAGGGAAAGGGAGGCGTCGGTGGAAATAAAGAGGGAAAGGGGGGTGTCGGTGGAACCCAACTCATATGAGTAAAGAAAAAGATGAGTTGGATTGAATTTAACCTGTTTTTATATGAGTTGAAAAAATTTAAACCCAACTAAATTTTTAAAAATTGATGGGCTAAATGAGCTAATATGTTAATTCATTTTTTTATTTTTTTAAATTTATTTTTTATAATTTTTTTAAAAAAATACACCTAAGTAATAAGTTTTAATTTAATATTTTTTCATAATTCATTATAAATATATCAAAATATTATTTTATAATGTTTGTACAAAGTATATAAATCGATACAATTAAGTAAATTATGTCTGATATGATTTATATTTATAAATTTTTTTTCTTTTTTCCTTTTTTTTAATTTTTTAACAGTAATATGGGTTAAATGGGCCAATCTTAACCATTAGTGTTAAACCAAATGATTCACGAGTTATCGAGAAAAAAAAATTATTTTTATTTGGATCAATAATTTTTTAACTTAACCTGACCCTTATAATTAATTATTTAGATCAACTCACATAACTTGATCCATATATTTTCAACTTTAAGAGGTGAGATCCCTCCTATTTTTTCGACATTGGCAACTACGGTGAAACTTCGCAAAGTTGCTTTTGAAATTTCTCTCCTTCTATTGGCCTTCATGGAAACCACAGAGCAGCTTCCAGCATCCAGAGCTAAAATTATAATAAATTGAAGTGGGTTCTCAGAGAAAAACAATAGATCAAGCTTCCTGAATTCTCCAATATCGTTGTCTTGACTCGCTTCATTGACCTCCATAAGAAAGGTACTTCTCTATCACTGTTTTTCCATTTTGATTTTAGGGCTTCGAATTAATTAATTGCATTTTCCCTCATCTCTCTTGATTTCCGATGCTGTCAAGTATAAAACCCTGTTCTTCCCCTTGTTCTTAATATTGCAATTGCAGGTGAATTACGTTGCTCTTATTGATTCTTTTTATTTGGGCGATGTATTTAATTTGGAGTAAAACATAGGGTTCGTCCCGTAAAACATTGATTTATTAAGCATCAAACATTGTCTCCGCCATCAGCTGATTTTATCTCATGGATCTCCATCCTTCACCAGGAGGAAATTTTCCGTCCAATCACATGGGATCTTTCACTCCTCAGTCCAATGTAAATTTCTCTTCTTCCTCAACGTAATCCGGTGTATCCAAAGCTAAAAATATAAATTCAGCTGGGCTTCCAGAGAACTAAAAAAGGTTGTTTTCAAGTCCAAAACCACCCTTTTTTAGTCTTTTCGTTGATTTCCTTCCCAAAGTAACTCATCTGTCACCACCGTTCCCTTCTTGTGCTCTCAATTAATTCCATACCTAATAGCTGATTCAGTTTCAGTTTCAGTTTCGGTGCTATAAACAATCATATTAAAATTGGATGGTTTAGATTTATTATTTTTTTATATTTTTAATAATTTAATAATTTAATTGATGCAGAATCCAAAGAAAAAGATAATTTCTCAATTTTTATTTTGATAAGAAATGATTTTTATTTAAAAGTTACTTTCTTATTTCAAGTTATAGGACACTTTTAAAAAAAATTTCAGTGTTTTAAAATACAAGATACTTTGATAAAAATAAGATTTTATTAATAAAATTTTTTTAATATTATCCTTATCATATATTTTCTTTCTTCAATATTTTTTTATCAATAGAGTATTAAATAAAAAGCATTTTTAAAAGTTTATATTTTTATCTTAAAAACTTAAGGTTGTAAAGTGTCTTTAATAAACTTTATTAGTATGTGTAATTTTATCTATAAATATTTTATAATTTGATATGGAGGGAGTATCATTTAAACATTTTAAATCTGAATAGTTGAAACTGTATTTGGACCGTGTAGATCTCACTGCAATGATGAGCAATGATGCTTATGGCTCCAGAGTTTTAGTTCATCAACATTTTAACGGTGTGATTGGCATCTAATTAATTGCGAATCGTTGGCCTTGCAGCAATTTGTTGGAATCTTCTACGCCATAATCTCAATTCAAGCGAGAATCCACATGGAGGAAGAGGAGCATGAGCTCTTTTACGAGGAAGAGGAGGATGAGCCCATTTACGAGGAAGAGGAGGATGAGGAAGAGGAGGATGGGCCCATTTACGAGGAAGAGGAGGATGAGCTCATTTACGAGGATGGGCCCATTTACGAGGAAGAGGAGGATGAGGAAGAGGAGGATGGGCTCATTTCCGAGGAAGAGGAGGATGAGGAGGAGGAGGATGGGCCCACTTACGAGGAAGAGGAGCCTAAAGATGTGGCTGTGGGTAGGGTCCTTCATCTTTTGAGTTTCACTGCAGCATTTTAAAGTAGCTTGTTATATATTCCGTTTGATTATATTTATAAGATTGTTTTTGTTGGTCTTTGATCCAAGATTTCTTATAAAATTTAATTAAACATTAATAATATATTTTAAAAATATTCTTATCCATTTTACTCTTGCATTAAAACATTTGATTAATGGTGATTTTAAATGGTGAAGCAAATGACGAATCTAGCTAAAGTAAGATCATCTCGCTGCCTAATCGTCCAGGTGCGTTCTCCGTGGTTCAGCTTCGTCGATTCACCATTTAGATCTCCAGTTCTTTGCTTTTCCTCATGGGCTTCGTCGAATTTGGCATTGACGGTTTTCCAGATTTTTGAATTTTTGATTAGTTGCCATGTCGGGAGTTAATACTGTTAAGGGACATATAACATAAGCATGGTCTACTCTAATTCACTAACGGTTAGGATAAACTTTTTAAATGAATCAAACTTAAAAGATTAAATTGTGATGAGTTAAACTTGAGAATTGAATCGTCACTTAGTTAAAAATTAAAGGATCAAATGATTAATTTTCTTGCAGCATTTTAGTGGAGTCAGATTTTTTTTATTGATCTTTAATACAAGTTTTTTTAAACAAAAAATTAAAATATCCTTATATATATTATAAAATTTTAATGGAGTCATATTAATAATATATTTTTTAAATATTTTTATCTTTTTTTTTTGGAATATATCTTTATCTATTTTTTTAATAAAATATTTTTATCTATTTTACTTTTAGCATACTCCCTCTCATCCCTATTATATGACACATTTTAAAAAGATTATTTGATCTTTAATACAAGGCAATTATTTATTATCATTTTTTTAATTTCACTCTATTGTAAATTTAATTTTATGATTCATTATATATTGTATATATTTCTTGTTCTATTTTTAATAGTGGTAAACTTAAAAAAAATTCATTTAAATAGATGTTTAATGGATTAATTGTCATTCTTTAGTTCTAGTGAAGTAATTGAAAGTACATTATAATAAGGACTAGAAGAAGTAAATAAAAGTTTTAATTTGATTAATTGTAACTTTAAGAATTTGTAAAAATTCTTGATATTTAATTAAATTTAACTAATTTATTTACTCTAAGGAAATTAGTTAATAAAACCTTAATAAGACTAATGATGTCAGGTCTAGCCGAAAGAACTAGTTAATTATAATGTGAAAAATTAATGTTCAAATTCTTCTTAATAAAAATGTTCACATTTAGTACCTAACCATAAAAAAATCTTGATAAGTATTCTTTTGGATCACAATATAAAACATTTTCTAAATTCAAAATATAAAGCATTGGATATATTTTACTTATATTTTTTCAATTATAGCCTTGCTTTATTACATTTCACTGAACTAATTAACGAATGTATTTTAAATAAGTCAAATATTATATTTATTCTACTTAATAATACAATAGAAAAGATATGAAAGTTTTTTAGATAATCAAGATTTTAACCAAATTTTTTAAAAAAACATTAACCAGTTAACAATGACTTTTATATATATATATATATATATATTGTCATAGGGGATTAGCTTTTTAAAAGGAAGAGATGGTGGAATAATTAATTTTAGAATCGTTGGCCTTGCAGCTGTTATTTTGGCAAACGAGCGGACTTCGATTGATCTTGAAGCTATGTTAGGGGGAGACGATATCCTTGAGAATGTCATGAAGGCATTAGCTGATCCAAACACTCATTTAATTGGAATTTATGGCCCACATGAGGGCACCAAACATTCTCTGCTTGAACTTGTTGGTAGAAGAGTTGATCGAGACCAAATGTTTGACAAGGTTCTCACTGTTACTGTGACCAGAAAAAGTTCTTATTTTTCGTTTGCCATGAAAACGGAAACACCTGATGTGAAGAAGATTCAAGAAGATATTGCACGCCAACTCGGGTTCAACTTTAATCACAAATCCACAAATAAAAGAGCCCAAGAATTGACCGATGGGATAAAGAAGGAGCAGAGGATTTTAATTGAACTATGCGACCTCTTCAAGGGGCTTGATTTGGGTAAGATAGGTATTCCTTATGGCGCAGACCACCCAGGCTGCAAGCTACTGCTAACTTCTGCAGTTGAAGGGGTGCTATCCAACCAGATGCATACCCAGAAAAATTTCAATCTTGATTATTAAAAGCTTCAGCCTTTTGTTGAGAGTTTTAAGGGCTTGTTATGTGTTGAGATTTTTGTGTTATATATAGTATGTATGTGTTGGTTGCATTCCCCAGCTACCGGTGTATATGACTTGAAGCTAATGTGCTGACGATGAAATTTTTTTTATGGTGATCAACTACAAAGAATAATATATGCTGGGTCCCTAGTAAGGTGTGTTTGTATCTCTTTGTCAACGTAACAAATTCTAATTCCATTTCTCATTTTTCGAGGGGATCTTAAATGATAAAAATACATCCATATACATGTTAAAGCAATTGATGTCCTCCTTCAAACTTGAGAGGCTAGCTCTACACTTCGTTTGTAGAGGATCATTGGTAAATATATACGAACGTCCAACTCAGCTAGTGTAACTCCACGGTCAGATAAATTAAAGAATGATCTCTCTCCCAACACATATGTTGAAGTGATGAGGTCAAGTTCTTGTTCATAGATACAAATGGGCAAGCTTAGCACATATGGCTTCAGTCCAAAACTCGATTACCATAAAATAAGTCATTTCTTCAAGTTTGGCTTTTATTGATCAGGCTTAGAGGCAGGCTTATAAATTCATTTTTCTTATTTTTAAAACTTCTTTTAAAAAGATAATTTTTACATTATAATATTATAATCCCTTCATTCAAAAATGTAAGGCATTTTTTAAGGAGTTGGATGTTAAAAAATGTAAGATATTTTTAGTATTTCAAAGTATAATCATTACTTTTTTTTAAAAGTGCTCCTATTAATGAATAACTTTATATTTATTGTAGTTTAAATAGCTACTTTATTGGGGTAAAATTCAATTAAAAATACTTTATATTTTTGAACGGAAGGAATATATATTATTTTTTTAAAATATAAATTATAGTATCCAAAAATTTACAAAATAATATAAATTCTAATTTTAAAATATAAGCATATGTTTTGAAGTTTAAATTTAATTTAAAAATTAAAATTTTTTATTTTTAGGAATAAAATGAAAAGGGCCTAAACAAGTCATTTGAGCCCGAGTCTAAATTTACATGACCTAACAAAGTTGGGTTTGGAAACTCAGTTACACTAAAATTTTTTGGTTTATGGTTTGAGAGAGTTTTTCAAAAAGGAGTAGAATGGCTTAAAATGGCCTTCCAAACCATTCTTAGTTATTCGTAACTCATTTTTTTCAACCCCCAATTTAAGAGGTTGAGAATAGAATGATCTAATACAAATAATATTATTACCAATTTACCCTCATTATTCACACTCCTCTCATAGTACTTTCACTCTTTCACTACCTCTCACCCTAAAATTGAAAAACATAATATATCTAATTGAAACGTATTAATGAAAAATGATAGAAAAATTCCTTTGAAATATCTAAATGATAATGAGGTTTCGCAAAATGTAATAATTCCTTTCAAATCTTTTGGGACTTTTTTGACATTAATATCTTTGGTGAAATGACCATAATACCCCTAATTGAAAATAAAAAAGAAATGCATAGTAACTACTTTAATTTAAGTAATGATTACTTTTCTTTTGGTAATGATTATAATGAGATAGCAAAAGACAATTTCTACTCTATAAATTTTTTAATAACTAACATTCAAATGTTGTAAATATCTATAACTACTTTGATTTAAGTAAGGACTATTATTATTTTTTTGTTATCATAAAGAAAATGAAATAAGTATCCTTTGCAAAATGACTTTTTTTTTTTCGAGCAACGACTAAAACAATATAACATATAACAAGTTTTGCTTTGCTTGTTTCTCTTTTTATTTTAAATTGGGTGCATTATAGTCATTTTATAAAAGAAATTAATATAAAAAAGGTCTCAAAAAATTTAAGAAGAGTTATCATATTTTGTAAGACTGCATTATCATTTTCATATTTCAATAATATTTTTCTGTCATTTTTCCTATACTAATTTTATAATAATTCTTAAATAATGATTTAATAAAAATTTTCTTTTCTCTAATAAAATTCTCAAACAATAAAATGTCTCATTCCATTCTACTCAATTTCATTTCACCTCATTCCATTTTATTAATAATCTTTTTCTTAATTTCATTATACATTACTCTTAAACATACCTTAAAACCCGAAAAATATCTTTGAGTTGGCCAAGAAGAAGAAGAAGAATGTCTCTAAGACATCTAATTAGTCAACTCAAAAAATTAAAATTGTCCTCTCTATTAAATCCTGGTTTTGATGATTATAAAATAAAGAGAAGTTTTGTGCATTTCGGGCTTTCTTAAATAAAACCAAGTTAATTAGCTTAACATTAATCAATTCTAACTAAATGAGAGTTTATACATAATAGTAGGTATGCTATCTTATTAGTTAAGTATTTGACTTAACCATAATCTTTATGTTTGAAGTTGTCTTGTTCAAAAGTGTTTATAAGTGTTGGTAGCACTGGTATTGGAAGCCTTAACACTGGTTTTAGCTCTATTATCTTCATTGTTCTATTGTTTCATGTTTCTTGTAACACCAGTCCTACCTATTATAACACCGATGTTATCCCTTTAAACTTGTGCAATTGAGTCTCTCTTGTTCGAATCTTTTTCCTTACATTGGTACTATCTATTCAACATTGATCTTATTCTTCATTTATCTTTGGTTGAATTAAGACAACACCTGTGTTACTTGGCTAGCACCTATACTAAGTTTTGTTCAAGTATGTGCAATACCTGTGCTAACACCTTAACACCGGTACTATCCTTTCTTCTGTCCTATGAAGAGATTTGATTAATATGTTACTTTTGTGTTATTTCCTTTTAACACTAGGGCTGAGTATTCTTATTCTTTCAAAATTGTCAAAAATCTTTGTCTTTTATGCATTAGATTATACCAGTACTATAAGAACAACGCCTGTGCTATGACTTTCTTTCAAAGTTTGCTCATCACTGTAACATCGATGCTAGAACTCAATAACACCAGTACTACTATAAATCCTTTTGCTCTATTTTTTGTATCTCTTTTGAGGGTCATTTAGACTCGTATTTTAATCCTTCTTTTTATCCAAAATCAATTGTGTTCACGCTATATCTTTACCAAATAATATTTAAACATGATTATTTTCTTGAAGTTATTCTATTTTCTCATGTTTGATTTGGTCACTGAGCTTACTTTCTGTTATACCAAAATGTATAAGCTTCAACCATTTTTGTCAGAAGCATTTAATGTTTTTAGCTATTACTGTATAAAAGAGGAAGTCTCTGTCGTAAAGCAATGTTCCATTGCCTAATCTATTGGAGAACCTTAAAGAAGCTTGGATATTCAAGAAAACACAAAGCAAGATGGAAACAGATCATAAGCAACCTCCAACAAAAAAATTTATGAGTCTAAGGAATCATTTATGTTCCTCAACTATAAATAGACTCATTTATAAACAATAATCCCTCGCAAAATTCATTTTAGTGAGGGATATATTGAATTTAGCAAAAGATTTGTCCCTCATTAAATCTATTCTTTCTAGTGGTGACTCTACAAAGATTTTAGATGTAATCAGATCCAAATGTTCTCTTAGGTGTGTTTTTTCAAATATATTGGTTATGTTAACTTTTTTAATGAATTGTCTTTATTATAAGTGTTCTAGATATTATCTGATGTATCAAAACAAATAAAGTTAATGTTAAAAGTAAAGTAATAACTTAGTATAGAACATATTCTCTTTGTTAAAAAATGTAAGGCATTTTTTGTGGAGTTAGATGTTAAGAAATGAAAGGTATTTTTAGTTTTTTGATGTGTAATCATTACTTTTATTCCAAAAGTGCCCCTATTGATAATGACTTTATATTTATTATAGGATATTTAATAGGAGTAAAGATAAAAAGATATGGTTAATTTAAAAATAGATAACTACTTTATTGATGGGTGAGATTTAATAAAAAATTCTTTACATTTTTGAATAGAGGGAGTATAACAATAGTTACATATTTTCAAATAAGTAAATATTCAATATTTCTAAGTTTTTTTTGGGACTATGATCTCTTGGACTTGATATTTATTTATTTTTTATTTGGTGTAAGTTCTTTTAAAATGAATAAGTTAAATAATCATTCATAACATTCAATGCAAAATAAATAATTTTTGGCTTAAATTAATTGGAATCATTTTCATTTTTTCCAAATTAATATAATATTAATTTCAGGTTAAATTTTTCAAATTTATTTTAAAAACTACTTTAAATTTAATTTCTCTTAATTTTATATTAATTATACTTGCAAAAAATCTACATGAAAATATCATGTGCATCACAAATTATTTTATTTAATAATTAATAGGAAACATTATTTTAATGTTTATAATTTTAAATTTGGAATTACCGAATCAGGCTACACTTTATAAATGTCAATAACTAGCATTAAAAAATTTAATTTTAAACTTATTCTCATTTAATAACATTTTATATTTTGAATAATTATTAAGTATTATGATTTACTTAAAGGTATTATTATTATTATTTTATTTTTTACACACCCCGTCGCATGGGGCCATGTACTAGTTTTTCCTTTTTCCTGACTGAAACCATTTACTAGTTGTAAAAATAATGCAGTGTTACCCCTCTATTGAGGAATGATGAAGGCGTGCACTAGCGAACTTACTGTGTCCAAAGAAAGGGACTGCTACATAAGAAAAAATATCCGTTAAAGTGGATTTATTGGGTTCCCACTCAATCCTCATGTGATGTCAAGTTAAAAGAGGGAGGGTTTGAAAACGTAATTTAAACAACAAAAAAAAAATATTATTTCCTCCATTTGAAAATATAAAACATTTTTAATCAAATTTCAGTCTCCAATAAAGTTTTTATCTACTTTTAAATTAATCCTATCTTTTTATATTTATCCTTATTAACTATCCTATAATAAATATAAATTCATTATTAATAAAGGCACTTTTAAAAAAAGACAATGATTACACTTCAAAAGATTAAAAATACCTTACATTTTTTAACATCTAATTTTTTAAAAAATGCTTTATATTTTTAAACGGAAAAAATATTATTATCATTATTAAGATATCTTATAAAAGATTTCACCAAGCTATTCCAAGTTCCAACAATTGGTGACTCTCAAGTCATTTTACTGTTCATAGAGCCTTTTTTAAGTTATGGCTTCGTGGGTTCACATGGCTTGGTATTGGGCTTCGTGACTGAAAAGTTCGATACATCATTTTCTCATTTAATAGCAAAAGCTCAGCATGGGGCTAATTTGAGCTTGGTATTGGGCTCTGCACATGCCCAATCTGATGTCATTTTCTTATTTAATATTTTTTATAGTTTTATAGTTTGTAAATTGAAAATCGTTAAAGGCATTCGAGAATCACTCCCAACTTCTTTCTCAGGTTTCCTCTATGTGAGCATTAAATCTCTCCGACTGTGAGTGCAGTGACTCCTCGATTGCTCTTCCTCTAGCGACCGCCAAGGGAGAGGAAGTTCATAGTGGGTGCGTGTATTGGTGTTGGTGTTTGCAGTAAAAAGTGTGTGCCGAGACGCGTTGAGAATCCAGATCCAAGTCTCTCTCCCTCTTTCTTGGTTAGTTTAAACGCCTCCTTTTTTTTTGTTTCTTCCACGAGCATCTCCTTTATTTCTTTGATTCCTTTTCTCTTCTTGACAGTCTTCTTCATCTCCATGGATGAATCAATCAGAAGGGACTGGGGGAAATCATTGGCTATGGCCTATCTTTAGGCGAGAACTACTCGAGAAAGGCTAGGGTTTGGGTGTTCAGTGCAGCTATGTCACCATTGGCTGAGACTTGACAGAGAAGGGTTGAAGGTGACCAAGACGATGGAAAAGTTGTGGTCTAGGGTGTGTTGACATTTCGCCTTGAAGGTTCAGACCCATTGCACCTAAATCTATCTTTTCGTCCAACTTAGTATGTGTTTGGATAATCATATTAATCGATTTGTTTAAAAAAAAAATTAATTTTTGCTTCAATTGCCTAAACACTAACTTTTTTAAAAAATCCATTTTTCTGCTAAAGCTGAAAGAATGAGCTTCCACGTTTAAATTTACAAAGATATTGAGAAAAGTTACAAAAAAAAAAAAAACTCAAACAAAAATATAAAAAGAACACAAAATTTAATAAAAAATAAAATTAAACTCTCTTCTTTTCTTTTTTTTTTCTTAGTAAAAATTGATGTTTAGTATTAAAGAATTAAATATTTCTCTTTTATTAAATTTATTTTAACTAAGACATATTGAGTTACTTATTTACATAAATTTAAATGTAAATATTAATATAATTTAGATTTTTTAATTAATTAGATATGTAATTTAAATAATATATTTTATTTCTTAAATCAAGTGTAACAACTTTAATAATATTATATACAAATTTATCAATAATTTAATTTTAAAAGATAATATTTTTTATGGTAATTTACACAGCTAAAACTGATTTTGAATAAATTATCCAAACATCTTTAATTATGTTAAAATTAATTTTAAAAAAATAGTATCTAAACAGATTATGTTATAACATAATTAATTATGATTAAAATCCACCATTTAATCAATTATTTTTATAATCTATTATATTCAACTGAAATTCAAACTGGCACTAAATTATTCCATTATAGTTCTCTTTGTTTATTACGTTTGTTGGGATCAAAGATTTTTTGATGTTATAACAAAGCACATTATTTTTAGCTATTATAATTGGTGCACGTAGAATGAAAAGTACACACAGTTTAGGATTAAATCACAACTTCACATATTAACACTACTACAAAATATATCTTTAGGAGCGGGTATTTAGGAGCGCTTCTTTAAAAAGCGCTCTAAAATGTAAATGCGGAATTTACCGGAGCGCTTTTCTAACTAAGCGCTCCTGTATGTCAGGGTTTCTCAATAAGATAACGTTCCCAATTAATATAAATAAAATATTGTAAAAAATTTAAAAAGACCTTTGGGAGTGCTCGTAGTTAAGCGCTTCGGAAGATCACTCTTTTGGAGCGCTCTTTGACGAGCGCTCTGGAAGATCAACTCTTCCGGAGCGCTCTGGAATGAGTGCTCTGAAAGAGCTAATCTTTCAGAGTGCTCGTCAAAGAGCGCTCCGAAAGAGTGATCTTCCGGAGCGCTCTTTGACGAGCGCTTCGAAAGACCACCTCTTCTAGAGCGCTCATTAATGAATGCTCCGGAAGAGGTGGTCTTTTATTTATTTGCCTCCTGTTAGTTTTCTTTTCCCTATTCATAAGTTTCTTTCAAACCCCTCTCTTATTTGTTGAGGCTGTGTGTTCCCAACAAGTTCCAAATCATCGCTATATCAGTCTATCTTCCACCACTGTTCGCTATTCCAGATCATCGTTCGCCGTTGTTTGCTGTTCTAGATCATCGTTCGCCACTGTTCTCTATTCCAGATCATCGTCTGCTGCTGTTTGCTGTTCTAGATGAGTGTCCATCGCTGTTCATTCATTTCTATGTCATGTCGCGCCATTTGTCTCTGTTTTTACGTCGCCGTCACCATCACCGTCATCTCTTGCATCACTATTCCAGATCTGCATCTCTGTTCTAGATTTGCATTGATGTTCCAGATCTGCATCTCTGTTCTAGATTTGTATTAATGTTCCAGATCTACATCGTTGCTATATACTAGAGGAAATGATGCCGTGAAGACCTTTATTGCAGCCGTGTGTCGTTGCTGTACAGCCAAGGATGCAACGCCGTAAAGACCTCCACTGCTGCAGTGAAGACCGCTGTTTTCTGCCATGAAGACTATACTGTGAAGGTATTTTTTTAATAATTAATTTATAATGTAATATAATGATATATTTATATACATTTGAGAATAAATTTCATATATATTTTTTTAATAATCAATATTATAGATAATATATGAATTGGAGTTATTTATATTAGAATTATGGAGTAGTTGATCGTGATAGTGGGACATATGATGTTGACCGTCTTAATAAAATGATTCATATATATAACTTCATCACTGAAGTATTTTAAATTAAGTTAGAATTTATTTCTACCATATTTTGGTCATGACATCTTTTATTGTTTTATAGGTACTTACACAGTTATAAGTTATAATTTATTGTTTTATTGTTTTATTTTGGTCATATCGTGATACTATGTTATGAAGTTTATGAGAGAAGTAATCACACAACAAGAGTTGATCATTTATGAAAATGTAAATCAAAAGCTTTGAAATTAAGTTGATATAATGTTAATTACTTATATATTGCTTTCATATCTTGTGTAGTATTTTGTTAGAGCAAGATATTTGCATTTTACTATGGAGCAAATAGAAGATTTAGTTGAAGAGTTATCAGAATATATTATTGACTGTTTGTGATAGGAAGTTAAATTTCAATGTTAGAAAAATAACAATAGTTTCATTTGTTAGGCTTGTTAGAAATTAAACTAGGTTAGTTAGAAAATTGAAATTGTTATATCAGTTTCAAATTCTTTTCTTGTATATAAATTTTTATGTTGATATTATTTTTAAATTAGTTTTTGATATTATGATTTGCCATTGTTAAAGAGACGTAAAAGGAGAAATTTTAAAAAATATAATTTAAAAAAATTAAAGTAATATATGGGAGCGCTCATTTGAAGAGCGTTCCTGTAAAGTAACATATGGGAGCGCTCTTTCAGAGAGCGCTCTTATATGGTTCATACGAGAGCGCTCTTTAACAGAGTGCTCCGGTATAGTTAGGCACACGAGAGCGCTCTTTATAAGAGCGCTCTAGTATTGTTGCATACGGGAGCGCTCTTGTAGAGAGAGCTCCCGTGTGTGATGTGCTTACAGGAGTGCTTTTTAGAAAGCGCTCCCATATAGCGTATATACAGGAGCCCTTTTTTTAAGCGCTCTTATACATTTCAGAGCTCTCAATATGAGAGTACTTCAAAAAGGCTCCCTAAGGTTAAAAAAAAGCGCTCTTATAAACTTATTTTGTAGTAGTGTAATTTGTTTACTTACTATTATATTATTGTGAATATAAAAAAAATGCGAATATAAAAATGAAAATTGTAAATCATTTATTTTTAATAAGGGTAATTTAATAATTTATATAAATTCATTAATGACAGAAAAGTTCTTAAGGACTTTTGAAAAATTATGACATTTTGAGAGATTATTATCATTTATATATTTCAGAGAAATTGTATTGTCATTTTCCCAAAAAGTAAAGGAAGTGAGAGCTAATTAATTCATGTTTATGATATTAATGAATCATGATGAGAAGAATGATTTCCTTAATAATTAATTTAATCATCATATATTTTTTTTATTATGGTCAAAACAAAAATAATGCTGCTTAAAATTAGATGAATTATTCATTTTAATCTTGATAAGATAAAGAGAAAGATTTCATAATGTAGCAAATGATATATTGAAGTTTGAATAAAAATAGGTTATAAATTATTTGAATTTTTCATTTTCATAATGATCGGTAATAATCATATGCATTAAGCCGCCAAAATAAAGAGGCAAGTTTATAAAGAAGCAAATAAAAAAGATAAATTTTAGGTTAAAAAATAGAAGAAATAAAGATAAAAAAGAGACACTTTTGATGATTGCTAAGTTGAATAAGTGAAGGGATAAAATTAGATGGTGAAAATGAAAAAGGATAAAATAATAAAGGAAAGAAAAAAAGGGGAGTGGAAAAAGTATGATGCGAATGATTTTTTTTAAATTACTTAAAAATTAAAAGAAGAGAAGGGGGTAAACATTGAGGAGAAAAAACAAGAACAACATGATTCTAGCAAGCCTTCATCGTTTCTATCAATAATGGAATTCGCCCAAAAGTTTTGTTGTGTGATTTGGCTAGACTCAAGCTAGCGTTTAGGATTATCACTCATGGTAATAGATCATCAACAAAATATTATAGGGTTGATCTTTTTCATCATTTGATTGTTGTGGTTTAGGCAAATCTAACTAAGTGTTTGTGCTAGGGCTGTTTTGCTAATGCAAAGAAATGTTGCAATGCATCAGTGTGTTGAAGAAATTTTGATTGAGAGTGTGATCTATAACATTTAGAAAAATTTAATCATGATTAGTTAACCTGATGAATGTGATTAGTAAGTTAATGAGGTATGTGACTATAGGGGCCTAATTTGGTGTAATTTTTGTGGTTTCAACCTTAAAGTAGGTCCAGATTGATGGTGAGCCACCCGAGCAAGGAAAGATGAAGAAAGAATGAAGGTTTGCCCTCGATGCCACATGTCGCGGTGTGTGGACAATCTTCCATGACGCATAAGGCAAATTTGAATATAACAGGCCTCTCTATGCCATGTGCCGAGGTGGAGGCATCGTGCGTCGATCAAAATTTTTGAGAAATCAATTCCTTCCTATGCGAGAAAATAGAATAGAGGAAGGAAAAAACCAAAGAGTTTGACTTTAGCTCTACTAAGGCATGCACTTTGGGACCTTTGAGGATAGATTGAAGCCCTCAAACACTTAAGGTAAGTAATCTAAGCCTTCTTCTTCCATTCTCTCTCTCTCATTATGGAGATTTATGACAGTATTTGAGTTGGAGAGTTCATTTTCAATCCATAGGAGTATGAATCTGATCCCATTAATTAAAATGAGTATAATGAGAGTTGTTTAAGGTATTGGAATACCACATTAGTGATTGTTTGAAGTGGTCGGTCTATGGAGGTAATAAATACCTAAAAATTGATATAAATATGGTAGTTGGGAGAAGTTTATGTCCATTAATGGTGGTTTAATGACTCATAAATGATAATGAGAGTCAATAGAACTTAATGAACCTATTGGGTATGAATAGGTAGTGATTTATGGGTTGATAGAATAGAGTGTGTGAAGGTATGTGTTGGTAAATCTTCAAGATTGAGACAATAATGGTATCCTTATGTTATAGATGTAGTGAGGTTCGTTTTAGCATCATTCAAGCTTGGGAGAAGCTTTAGAAGTATTTTGTATGAGAGGTAAACCTTTAACCTCTCAAAGGTTTGAGGTAATTAAGGAAAACTTAATTTTTATAGTTGAATGTTAATTATGTTTGTGAAATATAATGGATGATTTAAATTCATAATACATATTGGCAATGTGTTAATTTTGTGAAATGGTTTTTTTTAAAAGGAAAACTTTGATTATGCCACCCATATATTTGTGAATTTAACTATAGCATATTATTGTGGGTGGAAAATTATGATGAGTAATGTGTTGAGGATGTGGAGTATGTGAATGTGAGTATGATAGATTATTTGCCATGAATTAATTATTTTAAATGCATATTATGTGTAAATTGTGCATAGCATAATCATTGACAAGAGTTCGTCTAGGAAGAGAAGTAGATTAATTTAAATTCACGTGGTATTAGCAGTGACTATTGCAATTGGAAACTTACCTTGGTATCGACCGTTAGAATCGAGAGGTAGTTTGTTAAGGATGTAACTACGTGATAGCCACCAGTTTTATGTCGAAGGTAAACATGAAGATATAAGGTGGCATTTGATTATGCACATAAATCTGGCCACATGACTATTAGTATTATGGTCCGGTATGAGTTTAGGGATGCATGGTTGTTATTATTGTGATCTCGTGTTGTGTTTTGCAAAAGAACATGATTATGTGTGTTGTGAGCTCGATCGCATGGTTGTTAGTGTTGTAAACTGTAGCCAATTCCATCATGTTGTGATTTTGTTATCTTGTTTTGCCTATTTGCATCTCTTTTCAATTGATATGCAACTGTATAGGTTAGGTGAAACTTGATTACTGAGTAGTTGTATTTACCTCTTAATTCTCAATATTTTCAGAACCTAGCTTATGGATTTGAGTTAGGAAAAACATATAGAGGCTTAGGATTGAGGAGTAATCCTTTTTGTACGCCTCTCTTATTATTTTTATATGTATATGTCAATGCAATTGCCAACTAGGATCGCATATTATTATTATTATACTACTTGCATTACCATAGTATACAACTTGTGTATTTTATATCCTGGGTTAGTGAGTTTTAGTAAACCTGTGGGTAAGGCTAAAATACTTCTACGAGTAGGAATATGTGTATTTTGAAAAAATGAAATGAAAATGATAATTTTGTGCAACATTTTTCTCCCCCTTGTATTTTGTGAAAATTGGGATTGAGTAATGATTTTAAGATATATGTGTTTTTGATTGTATGTGGTGCATTGCATGGGTTCGTTAGAGTTTATTAAGTGTGGTTGGATGGTCTGTGTAGGTTTTTGGCACTTGTAGTTGACTTGGGACACAAAAGTTGAGATTTTTATGAAAAAGTGATAAAATGAATTTTGGTGTCCAACTTTTTATAGAAAAATAATTTGAGTGTGAAACTAATACCATTAGCTAGAGTTAGAAAAAAGCTCCGTGTAGACACCGAAACCACTTTAATCGGACGTTGGATGGAGATTTGAGATGTATCGAAAATTCGCTCCCTATATTGTCAAATGATAGCACTAATGTTGTTAAATTCGTGCAATACGCTATGACATATGGTGCCTCACGCCGCAGCATATGGCACAGAGAAAGATAAGCCACAGTGCACATGTCACAAGCCACAGCTCATGTATCATTTTTTGCACAAAACCTTGTTTTGAGTTGTAAAACTCATTGTTTTGGGTCCTATTTAATTTTTAAACTTCTTTATTATTTTCAAACTCTAATTTGAGCCTTATAAGTATTGTTTGAGATTTGAAATATTGTTTTGGGATTCCATTATAAATGATTTGAGAAATTTTCGCTTTTATAAAATTTTATAACTTTGGTAATCCTTT